AGTATTCCTACATACACCATCACTCATTAAAATAATGGAGAAAATTTAAGGGCAGTGTGCTTCTGAAGGAGAGTGTAGGGAGAATTTACACGTGATGGAAGTGGCAGGGGAAAAGCAGGCACGCACAAAACAAAATCGAGGAGAAAAATCTCAGCTTGTGCAGGGTAATTCAGGGAAACAGTTCACTTCCTGTCCTTACTGTTACAAAATTTACTTAGCAATGGAAGAGCCAGACAATAATATTTGAAAAATGGGCAAGTGAAACACATGAGAAGAAAATATGGAGAAGCAAATTAAGAAACTAACTGCACAAAAGAAATGGATGATTGAGATACCCAGAAAATGAAATCTTTTTGGTGATACACAGAAGACTAGGAAAAGGGTTAGAAGACTTCATGATCTAAACTAGAAGGAATGAGAGAGATGACCAGAGATTCACCTAAACGTCCAAGGCCTCTAAGAGGTTGTGAATCCTTAAGAAAAAGAGGCCATTTATGAGAATAATTCTTGAAACCATTCTGCATACCAGAATCTGGAATGTAAACTTGGGGTAAAAACATCCTGATGATACTGGCATGAAGTCGTCTGATTTTGTATCAGGTTAAGTGATAACTTTGAATTCTGGTGAAACAGGTTGAAGATGATTGTACCAAGCTTTGTAGGAAAGATATTTAAAGAAACTGACACTGAGGCAAACTCCAATTAATTTTTCTCATCTTTGTGAAAATAATGAAGAGTGCATGGCTCTCAAGATAGCTATGGCTAGGAGGATTTTGAGATGTTTGAAGGAAGCATTCCTTGAAAGGGGATTGTTCAAACAGGTACATTTACATTCCTTGAAAGGGGACTCTTTGAACAGGTCTGTTTGCTCAGCTGAAATAGTAGACCTGTGGGATAAGGCTGATATGACTAATTACCATTTTGAACCAGGTAGTAAAAACAGAAGTTTGGAAAAGACCATCATGTTAATCCCTCTAGATGGAGAGGAGGAAGAAAATCAAGTAAGGAGAATATAAAAATGGGTAAAGTGTCTTGCAACAGGATGATCCATATACTAAAATTGGGACATATTTTACTATTATTGCAACTCGAACTAATTGCAGTATATGTAGAAACTAGGTAGAAAAGCAGTATGGCTGTTAAATGGGAGCTGAAGAATGTGCTGTTCAGAAAAATTGGACGGTAAGCTGAGAGGGGATCACACTTGCACTGTTAGTGACAAGATAGACTAAAGAGAAGTGAGAAGGGATGGTATGTATTCAAGAGATTCTAATGTGATAGCATTTGGAGATCCATTTATTTGTCAGGCTGGGATTCACACGTGTCTGGATGTCTTTGTAGTATTACCAATTACTGTATTAAATTGACAATTTCAGGAGTGCAGGTACTTGTCTTAGAATAGGAAGGCCATCAAATGGGGTGGGAACAAAACCAATGTGGTGAATTTCTCAGACTCTGACTTTTTTCTTTTTTCTCAACTTAAGTTTTAGTTACCTAACAGAAAATTGAATAAAGAAAGTGTTAAAAAGTTCATTAAGTTGTCTTGATTTGTCCAACTTGTGTGAGTAGGAGTTCACAGACTTTATAACAGCTGTACAGTTTAACAAAAAAATGCTGGACCTACTCAGACGACATCTGAGCTTCCTTAAGGAAGGACTGTATGATTAAAGCCTTTTGTATTTATCTGCTCACTTGCTTGAAACTTTTTATATGAAGTTACAACAAGGATAGGTTTCTCAGTTACACTACGAATAAGCTTTTAGATAGAAATTCAAATTAAAAGACTCTGACAATTCAATAATTGGGTAGGATCAGGCATCACTAAATTCCCTGAAAACTTTCAGCATCATCAATCATATTTACAAGAACAACCATTCTACATTCTACCTGTTGTTTCAGAATACAAAAAACGAAATTTATTTTTTAGATGTTGAAGAAGATACACAATCAAATTGTAGAGAGCATTCTTAATGTAATGTGGAACACATCAGATTAATTGTTGTTGATATTTTATACCAACTTTATTTTGCACTGAAACAAGCAATGTCTTCAGTAGGTATATGTCAGCTGAGTAGGTGATGATAAAGCATTGAGGTGCAGGAACTTCTTAAACCTGTGTGGTTATATAACAAACAAATGTGGACTGGTATCATCAGCTTTTGAAATGTCACTCTTTAACTTTTACTGATGAGTATTGAAATAAGTAGACAAATTTTATTAGACAAGCAGTAACTGATTATAGGTGCTTTTTGAAAATGTTTGTTGTATTCCATTACTGAAGTCATCTTTTCTTTGTGATATTTGTAGATATTTCTAATAAAAACAGGAGTAAAAAAGTCAGTATCTTCTGTATGAGGATCTGGACAGCTAATTAGAATAAGTACAAATCACAGCTGTCAGAAGTAGAGGGCTAGCAACTATCTCTTTATTTTAAAAAATTATATTTATTTTCCATTTTTAAAAAACCAACTTTTTAAAAAACCTGAATACTGCATAAAAAATTCCTAACACTAATCAGTTCCTGTTACTGTCCTTACAAAAGCAACACAACACTGTGGTGTTTTGGGTTTTTTTTTTAATGTGTCTCTTTTAGGGTTTTTTTGTATCAAACATCACCTACCATTTTGTCTCCCCATGACTCAGTATCGCTAGGTTTTCATGCAGCTCTTCTCACTATCTTCTCACTACACAGGTAGGTTACTATGATCAGTAAAGTGTATGATCACAATATCTACCTCATTTTTTACTATGATGAATAGCATTTTACCTAGGACAAGGGCTTGTGGGACTTCATTAATTTTCCCTTCAAAGTAGACCATTCATTCTTGGTAACCTGTTAACTGTCCCTTTTGTTATGCTGTTCTGTTATCTCTTTAATCAACATAATGGCTTGAAACATCTACCTGTATGTTGCACATAATAATGGCCTCTGGTTTTGAAACACCTCTACTCTCCTCCACTGTGAACACACAAAAAATCTCTTAACTTTGTTTGCAATGACCTTATTTCTTCTGACTGCTGCCCATATAAATTTTATCTCCTACAGGTGTCTCTTTCAAATTACCTGCTACTGAGGTATTCAGAAATGAATACAAATTTTATGCCTTTACTTTAGAGATCCTTAAACTTTTTTTGCTCTGTATTGTTAAGTTTTACATTTAACTTGACAGAGTTTGGGTTTTTTGCCCACTGCTTCTAATGCTGACCATTAGAGGTAAGATGGCATCCTTGAAAAAAGTATCCTTTATTTTGTTGCCTAATGATGCCTGGGTAAGTTTTGTTCTCTCTGAGGTCTTGATGATGTTTAATTTTGCTTACTTCTTTTTTTTTTCCGTTATTTTTGTAATGAAAGAGAGAAAGATAAAAATGTGAGAGAGACAAAATAAATGAAACAAACAAAAACCCACCCCTCTTATCCTCATGCCATTGGGCAGTTTATTTTCTTCCAAAGATGTGTGAATTTTCCAGTTTTATCAGTTAATTAAAAGTTTAAATAAAAATCTGCTGGCTTATTTGCTATTTTACAAGAAAAGGTGGTTGAGTTACTAAGTTATGATAATGTAATGTCATCCCTTTCTCCAACTTACGAAACTCAGAAAAGACTAGCAAGAGTCCTGCAAATATTAGTGAGCTTTGGATCAGAAGTGAGTACGCAAGGTTCAGCTCTTTTTTTTTGGTCCAAAAATCTGAAATTACTGCAATTAAACATCACAGTAGCAAATGAAAGACAGCTTTGAAGTAAAACTTAGTACTTCTATTAAAATTAGGATGTTTGCACAGTACAAGAAAGATGTTTAAAGTGTTGTCTCTAACTTAATCAAAACATGCTGAGAAACCAGGTGAATTTTCAGTTAAAAAAACCCAACAGAACATAATAAATTCAAAAGGAGTAAACAGACCTTATAATTCCTTAGTGTTTTTCTGGCTCAAGTTTGACCCTTCTAAATTTTCTCATGTGTTGACTTGAGTAAAATGAACCTCTGAATTGAACTAATCAGAATTAAGCCTGTTACTAAATCTTGTATTTGGTTGGTAAATGTCATTCTATTTATATCATCACAAGTCATTAAATTCTATACAAATAGAAGAAAACATCCACTGAAACTGTGCAAATCTTCATGTGTAGAGTTTGGATACTGATACGGATTTGAAGGAGTTAACTTACTAAACCGCTGCTGTTATTTTGGCAGGTTGCATAAGCAGGTAGTGGAGACTCTAGTTAGTAATATTAAAGAGATTCCTGCTCTTGTAAAAATAGCCATTTCAAATACTGAAATTTGATTACAGAATGAGAAAAAAGTAATAATTCTCTTTTTCTGTTCTTTCATATTTCTGTGAGGATCTTGATGTTTCTCTTTTCAAATGAATTCAGAGCACTTTCTCGGAACCAGTTTTTAGCTACTTGTTTTAAACTGAAGATAGTGTTTCGTATCAAATTCAGTTTAGGGACATTAACCTCAAAACTTGTCAATGTAGACAGATATGTTACATAATCACAAATTTAATTTACAAATCAACGAGGCAAACTATTCATAGACAAAGGGGCATATACGTTTTGAAATTAAAAAAAATTAGTTTCTGAATAGAGAAAAA